TCCCCGGCTTGTTGGAAAACACCTGCTGATATTTACTAAGCAGCATTTTTAATTCTTGCTGCTGGTCTTGGGTGAGTGCAGGACTGATATTGACCTCCTCTGGGTTGTATTTTACTTCCCCTCTACCCTCCCAGAAGGGTAATTCAGCTTCCTCACTCTCAGCTGCTTTTATAGCAAATAGAACACACGCTGGACACCAATCAATGTGACAAACCCAGACCTACTGGGATATGTCACACAGTTACACTAAGCTGCCACCAACCATTCCCTTTAAGAAGTCACACAGACCAGGGATGGATTTTTAAACAATAAAAAGAATAAGGTTTATTTAAATACACACAGGGAAAAATAAACAATCAGGTGAATAAAATAAAGTAACGTGGCTTATTCTCACTCATACAAGCATACAGTTTGGTTCACACAGAACCCTTAACTTAAAGCACAGACCCTGAACCTATCAGTTCTGGCTAACCAACAGACACCTGAACCTATCAGGTTGGTACTCTGTCACACAGCAGTACCCTGTCTGACACACAGACTCCCACAACAGCTTCTTCTTCCCAGCTGCTGCTTCGTCACAACCCAGTGTCTCTCAGCATCTCCTAGTGTGTCTCTCTCACCACACAGGCATCACATATTTATACAGTACAGCCCCTCCTCCTGATGTCCCGCCTCCCACTCCCCATAGGATGGAACTTTCCCTCCAAACCCATGACAGACAGGTAACATCAGTGCTGTATGTAACAGGGGTGATCTGTGGTTTGGCCGGAAACATACTGACGGAGCATAGAGCTTTTCAGATTTCACGAAGACGAGCCCTGCACGGTGCAGAATTCAGAACACGCCACCCAGTTTCACGGCTCGAGAGTCCCAGCCTATTCAAACGAATGCATTTCAAGGTCTCGTGAGAAACAGAGGCTAGAAAGGGTCTGCTGAGTCTTTGCAGGAAGGGACACCAGGATGCAAGGCATTAGGTATTTCCCAGTCAAGATTCAGCACCTTACGCCTTTACCCCAACTTTTAGATGCAATATGTCATCACCACGACAGCAGATCATAGCCTTTCCTTGAAGAGTCGTGCTTTGAATTTGTGTTAATAGCACGAATTCATGCACCTCTCTGCGGAAAGCTATTCAAATGGAAGCTAGAAAGGGTCTGCTGAGTCTTTGCAGGAAGGGACACCAGGATGCAAGGCATTAGGTATTTCCCAGTCAAGATTCAGCACCTTACGCCTTTACCCCAACTTTTAGATACGAAATGTCATCACCACGACAGCAGATCGTAGCCGTTCCTTGAAGAGTCGTGCCTTGAATTTGTGTTAATAGCACGAATTCCTGCAAATCTCTGCAGAAAGCAAGACAGAGGGGAAACCAGAATCCTTGCACGTCTTCCTCTCTTCCCCTCATCTCCATTTATTACAGGTCAGTGGCACCAGGAAACACCTAGAAAAGTGGGCCATTTATTCCTGTTCCTTCTTTCCAGGGCATATGGGCAAGAGCTTGGAAAAGATGGGCTTTTACAGTTCTCTGCCAGGGCGCGCTTGCAAGTCCTCCTCAAGAGCAAAAACAAACCACGAGGCTTTGACAGCAGCGGCTGATCGCCGTTCAGTCTTCCATGCTCCAGCTCAGTGCTGGAAACTACTCCTGGCGCCCTCATGCCGGGGCAAAGGAACACTCGAAAGAGCCCTAGGGACAGCTCAGCCACGGGCTTGGGAGAAAGGAGAGGTCCCCGTGCGGGAGCACATCAGAGGATGCACCATAAAATGAGAACCAGAGACTGCCTTTCTCCTGCGACAAAGGGATACCCATGGAGGAGGGGGCAGGTTGCCAGTGGGCACAGCGGTAGCTGTACAGATGGGCAGCTGGATGTAGGATAAGGCTGGTGGGAAGAGGGCAGTTTCTCTCCAGCAGTTTCTGGAAGGCCACACTTGGCTCATTCCCGAATTAAAGGCTGGGGAAGACTTGTGGACCACGGGGAGGAGGAGGAGACGGTTCAAGGTCCCAGACCAATGATCTCCTTTGGTCTAAAGTAACGTATTTTTCGCACCATAAGACACACTTTCCCCCCACAAAACAGGGGGGTGGAAAGTCTGTGTGTCTTATGGAGCGAAGAAAACAGATTATATTTTCCTGTTTTCTTCTTCTAAAAAATTGGTGCGTCTTATGGAAAGGTGCGTCTTATGGAGCGAAAAATACGGGGTACTTTCATAGCTTAAAAGCCTGGGTGCTTAAAAATTGATACTGCGAAAACCCCTCTATACAACCTCTAAATATCCCTATTCCTGTAGCCTGGAGGGGAGAATGCAGCCGTACGAGTATATCATCCCCCACACACAATGTTTTGATTTTTTAAAATGCACTTCTGTGTCAAAAACAGATTACCTCCCTCATGTCCTCAGGGGGCAATCGAGCACTCTTGCTTTCCTTTACAGCCCTTACCAAATGATGTTCCCTCTACGGAGAGGCTGAATTCAAAGAGGGGGAGGGGGGAAAACACTAGCAACACCCATCGACGTCTCTACCAGGCAACCCAAATCCCTTGCTAGGATATGGGCGAATCAAGGTAGTTTTCCTTCCTGCAGGCCAACTTCCTAGAGAGAGCCATCCAATACTCAAGAAAAGTGAAGAACAGGGAAGGTGTGTGCAGTGGGGGGGCAAAGGGCAACCCTCCAGGTGGCAGCGAATTACAATCCTGCCATGGGCCCCCAACTTTGGACTTCAGCTCCTGGACGTCCTGGCCGACACGGCTAGTGGTCAAGGCTTCTGGGAGTAGCCGTCCAAGAACACGGAGGTTAGCAAGGGTCGGGAATCACTGGGCTATGACATTGAGGCCATGCAGAAGCACCAGCCCAACAAAATTCGGTAGACCACCCCTTCCTCCCCCACAACCCAAGCTGATAAAAGACCTCAAAGAGAAAGCAAAGAGGGAACGTGACAGCCACCTCCAGATAGCTCAGTCGTTCTAGGTCTCTGGCTGCGAAGCCAGAGGTTGGAGTTCAATTCCCCCACTGGGCCTCCTTGACAGGGGCTGGACTGGATGATCCCCCAGGGCCCCTTCTGGCTCTGCAGCTCCACCCAAACGAGATTTGAAGTACCTAGGTTCAGTGGTTTAAATCTCCAGCTGCTGAGCTAGAGGTGGGGAGTTCAATTCCCTTTAGCAATTCAATTGCTATAGAGAGCATCCACCAGGTAAAACTAGTTGGCTTAAATTTGGCCGTGCCAGCTGGGTTAACTAAATTCCTGATCCCAACTCTGCTAAGAGGCAGGCCACGTGAGCTGAGCAGCCTTCCCTCCCTCAGCTACAGGGAAACTCTTAAGTTTCAAAAAGGCAGAAAAGGAGGAGCCCCCCCCCCTTGAGATTGCCTGAGACGGTCCTCTGTTTTAAGAGACGGACCACCAATTCCAAACGGCTCAGTGAAGAAGCCCTTGCCATCAACATGCATCCTGCAGCTATTAGACTCTGACCTGGCCTCTCTACACCATCCGCCAGGTGAATTTGGGACATTAAAAACAGCACATACATTTTGAAGAGTCCACAAGAACTTGATGCACAGTCTTGAAGATGATTTTTCATCGAAAGCTTGCTACTTGTTTTTGGTTACGTTTTATATTCTCAATGGTCGATTAAAGGCATCATCTCCTCCTGCATTTATACAATTCCCCACTTGTGCCTCCTGGGAGAAAAGCCAGCCTGGATGCCCTTGGGTGAGCTGCACAGTCTCACAGCGCCCCCAGGAGGAGGGAAGGGTAAACCACATCTGTGTATTCCCTACCTAGAAACACCTGGAAAGGACGGTCATATGTCAAAATTGATGTGACGGCACAAGATGATTATGAACACCACCATGCAGCCAAGCCATCTTTTGTAGTACTGATGCTTAAAGAAAAGGCAGATCCTTGTGACACAGTGTGAATTTATTTTTTTAATAACAATAAAAAAAGAAAACGATCTTTCTGGCCACATTACCTTCAACTAGTTTGTAACAAACAGCAAATTAAAAAAAAAAACTTCTGAAATGCTCAAACCTCCCAAGTGTACAAAAAAAAAAAAAGGAAGGGGGGACGGAATTAAAAAAAATGAAAAAGAAAGGGAGGATCAAACACAACTGGAAAAAAAGGTGTTTCAAGTTCTGAATGCTCAGCAGGACACTCACTCCTGCTTCTCAGAGGCTCCAGGCGAGCAGCGCTCACTTACAGCCAGGGCGATTTTAACACGTGTACACTTCAAGGATTTCAGGAGGAGAGAATTGAGGACCACGGAATGCATGGAGACCACGTAACGTCAGCCACCCGGTCTCCCTTTCATAAGGGGAAGGGAAGAAAGGCGGAAGCAAGAGGAGACTTGGAATAGCCGCTCTGCCTCCGCCTCCGCCCCCCCTTCCTCGACTCCATCGCTGTCCAGGAGACACAAGCGCTGGGGCTCAGCCGGGCAGCAACCGAGGTGGCGAGTAAACACAGCCCAAGGCCCAGCGCTGCCCCCCCTCCCCGCCAGCGTGAGGTAGACATTTGTGCCCTAAAAGAAACCTTGATGGAGCAGGGAAAGGACAAGCAATACGAGGCAATGCCTGAACCGGGGGGGGGGGATGGCATTGCATTCCCTTTGGTATGAGGCCGGGGTGGCAGTGAGCTTAAGAGATTCCTCCCCTCGCCCCCGACTCCCTCCCTGACGGATGCCGGATCTTGCCGTTGGGAACTACGCGGACCGCGCAGGCGCAGAAGCACGGACACCCACTTCCTGGTGGCTGGGAAGGAGGCCAGGGTCTGTTAGGGGAACCTCACGGGAGGTGTGCCTTGTTTAAATCCCCTGTCCCAAAATGGGGAACAAACCGTCTCCCCTCTGGCTTCTCGTGGAAAGCTCCGATGGTCCAAGGCTCCCCCCCCCACAGGTGTCAAGGAGGCTGGCAGTGTCCCTCGCTGGTTGAAGCCTGATCAGCTCCGATGGTCCAAGGCTACCCACCCACCCCGGAGGAGCCAGGCTGACCCAGAAGCTGCTGAAAAGAGGCACAGGGAGGGGGCCGCAACGGGCGTTCCTTCCAGAGTCACTCCAGGATCCCCCTCCCCGAGCGACATCCTCCTCCTGCCGCCGCCCCGGGCACTAGTGGCGACTGGAGACCAGCCCCTTGACCTTGGACATCTTCTTGGTGGGCTGCCTTTGCTCGGCGTGCGGGGGGCACTCTCGCTCTGACAGCTGCTGCTCCATCTCCTGGGCAGAAGACGAGGCGGTGGCTTTGAGGGTCTTCTTTATATTTGTCACCTGCAAGGAAAGGGAAGAGGATGGGTTGGCAGGAGAGCGGTTCCTCATGGGGAGCCCTCCTCAGGGAGCCCCTAGGCCAACACTGCTCGGACACCAGCTCTGTAGAGGGAGCTCAACAGGCCAGGAAGCGTCCTGCGCTCTCAGGCCAACAGAGCCATTCGACCGAGGAGAGTGGCCCTCGGCCATGGAGGCTCCAGCTGTGGATCCCCCTGCATTGGCCGGTGGCTCAATCAGGTGACCCTCGAGATCCCTTCCCATGCAACCGTTCAGTAACGGTAAGGAGGCAAGACCAGGGAATCAATCATCTCGCCTGATTCAGACCTCTCCTTCATC